AAGGGGGTCTGGTAGCTGACACACAAAGATAATTTTTGGCCAGGCAGTTCATTGCTGGATAGCCAACTTTATGTTCCTTCCACCATTTGAGAGAATCAGCATCACAGTCTATGTTCCAAGAAGCTTGCCAGTGATCTTTTCTTTTTAGTCGAATGTGCTACGGCTGCTCATCCGAGTATAATTTTAATGAAACATAAACAACATTGTCTCATCCCGCATCCTTTTTAATATGTCTTAAAAACTCAATATATTGTCCAGACTTACACTCAGCTAGTATTTAACGAGTGTTTCCAGGAAATCTGGTATATTTGCACAAACTATGGTTGAAAAGAAAAGGAAAATATTAAAATTAAGTGAATGTCTCTATTTAAAAAAATAAATAAATCATGATGTGATATTATAGAAATCTGTTCACTACTTTTATTACAAATTATAGCAGTAAGGAAGCTGACTAAATATTAACTGATAATTTACTTCTTCCCACTCCGTTTCAACATGTAAATTAATCAGAACGGTAGCTATATTGAAATGTATTGATTTTTTTTTGTATATTATTATTTTTTCTTTCTTATTTTCTTTTCTAAATGTACCTGTATATTGTTTACATGTTTGAAATAAATTACGAATCAAAGTGTCTGTTAGGACCCAAAACAAATTGCAAGAGGGTTTCTAGTGCAGCAAACCTTGTAACGGAATTCATATAGTAACAGCCAGCAACCCATGGAGGTTGCTGGCTGTTACTCACTGTTGATCACTTTCACTGTTACTGAATCTGTACTCACCAACTCTTCCCTAGGCCAGAATGACTGGATGACATTAAAATGTTGAAAATACAAATTTGTTGGAATAGGACCAAAGATGTGGAATACAATCCAAGCGTGCCCATGAATGCTGCATTTATGTTTTTAATGGATTCTCAGATACACAGACACAGTAATACAAAACAGCCATTTAAAAATACCCACAAGTGTTTCAATTCAGGTGGCAGGAACGTAATGAGAGGCAAAAAAATTGCAGACAAAATATATCAATCTAAGAGTATTTTAAGCATATTATTTTGGATGTGAGCATTATGCCCAGTTTGTCTGCAGGACAGCCCACTCCTTGCCCTTACCTCCTTTTCACTATAGGAGATATTACGGATGCCGCTCCAAGGAAAGGACTTGTTAGGGGCGAGTTTGCTGTTGGGGCTGTAGATGTGAAGACCCTGGGCATCAACTCCAAGTAGGAGGTTTGTGTCCCTCTTATTTTGCTGCCAATATATGTAGAAACACAAATGTTAACCCAAGAGACAGCAAAGTTAAATGTCAGATTCAAAAATGTGAAATCAAGTCATACTAATTCACACTCACAGTAATTTCAAAGTAGCTGACACCATACATCTCAAGATCCTGAGCAATCTTTAGGTATTCCATCTCAGCTTCATCTCTATATGGACGATGTGAAAATAAGAAAGGGGATCACACAATGATACACCGATTACACTTAAACTACATGATCTCGTGCAATCTTTTGCTAAAGGTGTTAATAAGTCTTCACATGCTGGTCTTCAGCAGCCCCCTGGGTCAGCTGTACCTGGCGAGGCCTCTGTGCTCGGCATACCAAGCTGTGATCTTCTCCTCCCACATGTCTGCTGTCATTTGGTACTGCATCACAACCTGGGATAAAGACACAGGATCACAGGGAAAATGTTAATACACTGAATGCACAGATGGTGTCTGACAAACTCGGCCAGAAATGACTGCTAACAAAAGAAAATAATTCTGGGAAGCACCAGTTTTCATAGGTCAAATCTGCACAGAGACCTGTATACTTACTGTTTTTGGCAAAAGCTCATCTTGTGCCAGGAAGCCTGGTTTATGGAAGTTTGTATCAAAGTCTCCATACTGAAAGGGAAACAACAGTAAACAACAAATCAAACATTAATGACACACAGAGGAAAATATTTATTCAGAGTTTGGTTGAATAACATAGGTCATTAGGATCTGTGCAGTAAATAAGTTGCCCTTTATCAAATTTTAGCCCTTTTGTATCTCATGAATGCACTGCTCTTCATGCTGTCCATATAACTAATCTGCATTATATTGATTTTGTTTCATATTTGCATGATGGTCTCCAGCAGCAAATGTACTCCAGGAGACTAATTATTTTCAGATAAAAGAAGGCCGAGCAACTGCTGGTTTAGTGAGAATTTGACCCTCCAAATTTTCTTACCTTAGCTTGGACGGCATATGATGCCAACAGAACTGAAGCTTCAGGGGAGCAGAATATCTCTTCATCTAATATCTGTTTTTTTACCTAAACAAGAGTTTGACAACATGTGTGAACATGTACTGAGCTACATAAAAGCTTCTTAGACGTGAGGTAAATGCTACACACAGGTCGAGTTAAAATTCAAAATAAACTAAAAGAAAGAAATTCACCTAAAGGTTTCACCACAAAGTTATCAGAGTACCTGTAAGAAGAAGAGGTGTTGAGTTATTTCTTGAACCAGCTCTTCTTCTACTTTTTCCGGGAAAAATTTAGCAAGGAAATTAAATGTTATGGGAGAGTCCTTAGGAACCTCCTGGTCCAAGACCTTGATGAAAGATGAAAAGGAAAAGTTATTATATTGTGTTTATACAACCATTCAAAAAAAGTTGGGGTATTGGGCAGAATACAGTGATCTGCAGATCCTATAAAGCCATATACGTTTTACAGAAGAACATAGAAAACATCATGTTCCATTCCACGGAAAACAAATTTCTCAACTCATTTAGAATTTCTCTCTTCCAGCATGAAGAAATATTTGCACGCTGAAATACAACGCTGACTGATCTAGCCAATATAAATGTCTTATTTAAGCAACCTGTATAACCTTCCAAATATCCAGGTGACCTCTTTTTCCGGGAAAGCCTTCCATAATTCCATACTTCATAGTAGAGTCCAGGTACTGCCTGGCTGCAGTTCACCAGCTGAAATCATTTGGTACTCCATGGTACAAAAAAATACGAAAAAGCTAGAATATTAACTAGAATATTAACTCTGACAAGAACGGGACAACATTCATCTCCCAGAAATCCAGCAGCGGCTCTCTTCCTTTTCCAGATTTTTACAGGCTGGTATTAAAAGAATAGTGCATGCTTCACAGTGGTAAACATGACCCTGTCCCAACTTTCCTAAAATGGGACATTTTTGCCGTTCAAAGATTTTATATGCATTTATAGTCTATTGTGAATAACATGTGGCTCTATGAGGTCTGTAAATTATTGCGCCATGTTTTTATTGACATTTTACACTCTTTTTTTTTTTTAATTGGGGGTTTATTTGTTTATTTTTGGATCTCAGAGCCAATCTCCTTAGAATTATTCCTTCACTTACCCGCTTGTCTGGTTTTAGCCAGGCATAGGTATCCTTTACTGTGTACCTAAGTCCAAAAAACCAGGTCTCCCTCAAACCAACAGTTCGACATACCAGGTCAAAGAGGTCTTTACCTTTCCACTTGACCTGAAAAGAAAAGAGTTAGAAAGATATGAGCAAGTGAAAATGCTCAAAGCAAGGGTATTTGCAGCTGGAGCCCTTTAACTGTCCTGTCTCAATATAAAGAAAAATGTAAGAATAATTATTATAAGAATGTTTCAATCCTGGTGTACTGGCAGGGCTCCCTGCAGTGTGTTATAGTGTAGGTGGGACACATCCCCAAGAATCTAATGTATCCTGTGAAATGTAATCTTTCACAGGACAAAAATGAGCTGTGGTTTAAAAAGATAACATATCAATGTTTGTGGGGGGAAAGCAGCGGTATTATTTCACACAGCAGAGGCCCCACATGAGTATAGCCATTGTTGACTGTCATTTACTTGCTCAATCAATCACAAGATAACGTGTGTCAGGATCTATAACTGCTGCTGATAAACTATCTCCTGGGTAAACCCACACATGAGGTTGCATGACATGCGTCTTAGATTACAGCAGTGCCCTTCACGTTTAAAACCAGTGAAAGGCCTCGTACAATTTTGCCCGATTTAACTTTTGCAAGGTGTGATGGACTTTTCAAGCAATTCTTTACTGTTAATCTGGGGGTTCATTTTAAATGAGCCAAAGATTATATATAAAAATGTAATCACAGTTAATTATTATACTTCGACATATCATACAGGCTCGCATATATCCATACCTCGCAGCTAAACTCCATTTCAGCATCCATAGTGATAACTTTGACTTTAAAAGTCTTTGGCTGCTTCTTCTTTAATCCCAGGATAGACATTTTGAAGACGTTTCGGTCAAAAAGCTGTGGAAAAAAATTAACACAACAGATTATAGAGCTACAAATTACATTTAACAAGTGATACGATGAACCAACTCATGACTACATCATCAAGTAGCACGTTTTTAATGTAATTTACGGTGTTACGCGCATGGAAGGAACTGCTTCTTGATCATGTTCTCTTTAGCATCCAAACGATAATTTAGTTTTTCCAGCGGTTTTAGAGATACGAAAAAAATTAATCAAAACAACATGCATTAAAAAGTTAGATGGGGCCATTACCGCTTAATAAAGTTTGAAACTTCTGGTGTCCAACAACTCTGAGAAGAGGCAGGGCTTTTGTGTGGGGAGAGCAATGCTAGGCTAACATTTACTACAACAAACAGCAGTTAGCTTCCCAGCTATGCCACGAAAACCGAGCAAAAAAAGTTGTAGAAAGAGCGAAACTTTTGAGAAACTCCCATGATGAAATACATCTAATTAAGCGAAATTCAGATGTTAAAGCTGATTCAAATAACACTTGGGAACAACTGTGCTAACTCTCTCGGTTTTAGGTGGGTTAGCTTTCTGTTAAAATCTAGGACGACTTTCCAGAAGATTTTTGTTTTGATTCCCAAACACTCTACAGGTGGGAACACGAATAGCAACTGTGGATAACGCTACTGCGCATGAGCAAGCGCGAGTTCAAAGGCCTCCTTCGGTGGTTGTTGGGAAATTCTGGTTCCAGGCGTGGTGTGTGGCCGTGAATGCAGCAGCTAGCAAAGATCACATACTATAAAATAAAATGTATAGGAAAGAAAATAATTTGAAAGAATGTAAACGCCTCTTTATGGCGGAAAAAGAGCAGAGAAAGCTGCCTCTTTACCTGAAAGACTTTACTGAGGGAATAGCGTGCCCGCTCTTTTATACAGTCATTGGTTGCTTCCTGGTGTTGCTGCACAGGCTCTCGGTGTCCCCGATTCAGTTTGCAGCAGTAATCCTGTCTTTATTGTTGGAGTGTGAACGGAGAAAGAAGAAAGATCCAGGGAGACGACCGCTGGTAAACTGGCGCCCTGTCTCTGTATCTTGACACGTATACATATATGTATGTATGCAGCAGATTGTGTCTTCTGCAAGCCGAAAGAGCCCGTGTTATTTACTACATTGCAGAAGTTATAATAATACAATAAAAAATAATGATAATAATGTGCAGCTGTTGTGTTAATTGATTAATGATTCAGTCTATTCAGACAAACGTATGCTGGTTTTAGTTTCCAAAATTGTTCATTTTTGCTCTTTAATTAGGCTAATGTGAAAGTAGTCAACAGATCTGTTGAGTAGACGAACAAATTAAATTTATGATGACTGACAGAGCAATTAAAATCTCAAAACCAAAAATTAAATTTGCTAGAAAATGAACCAAAGAATGTACGCTGCCTATATATTAAGACTGTATCTGTAATGTGTATGCACACTTGGAGTCTCTGGTTGTTATGATTTTGCTTGACTATGTTTGTTTCTTCTCAGCAGGTGTGTATATAATGTCAGCTGTGGCTAACACATTTGAAAATGTGAAAGCAGTTATTCTATCAGCCCATAAAAACACAACATCAACGGACAAGGTCTCCTTTTACAACTCCTGGGCAGAGAACTATGATCAGGTGAGATAACCTTACCTTTTATATTTTACTAATACTTGCTGATTTTTATTATTAGCCACATCACTGCCTATATGGCTTGTTTTTCTATTCTAGTTCCTTGTAGTTTACATGCTTAAATGTTATCTGTATTGTAATAATTTTAGGCACTAGTGTTACATTTGTCACTCTGTTGTTTTGTATGGTATAACCTTTAGTCTACTGTAATTTTTTAGCAATGTTTGACACGTACTAATCTTTTGGATGGATATCTAATGGATAATAGTGAAAATATTGGTACTTTTTTCCAGGTCAATAAAATAAATTGTTAGCACAGTGCAATTTTATTATAAGAAGAATATGCATCTGAAAATACAATGTTGTGAAATTTATCGTTACATATGTAATATAAAGTAAAAGAGTACAAATTACAGTTCTATAGGATTTATCTGATGGAACAATGTTATGTATGTGTTTCATACATAATTAATGGGTAACTGTTCATGTTTTTGAGTAGGATGTGGCTGTCCTGGATTACCGTGCACCAACTCTGGCAGCAAACTGCATCTCTTCCCATTTCAGTGGAGATCGTGAAGGTGCCGTCGTATTGGATGTGGCCTGTGGTACAGGACTGGTGGCCACACAGGTAAAATAGAAAAAGAACACATGGCCTCAGGGAGAAACTGTAAATCTGCAGTCTTAATGAAGTGATTTGCAATTTAATATCTGACAAATCCTTTTTTGAAAACATTGTTGATATTTGATCTTTTTCAGTCTTAATAAATGTCTAGAAATTTCTTATAATGTAGTGACCTTTTCTTTCTTGATTCTACAACTTAATAACTATGTGTCTGATAACAACCTAAACATGTTGCACAGTTGAAGAAACTTGGATTTGGAAAGTTTGTGGGGGTAGATGGAAGCAAAGCTATGTTGGAGTTGGCAAGACAGAGCGGGTTGTACCAGGATTCGAAGCAGATCATGCTGGGAGAGGAGCCACTGCCTATCCAGTGGGGTATTTAAAGCTTTATTATTATTTTATCCAAGTCATTAATTACTGTGTAATTAAATTTTCGGTTCTCAGGTAAGATGCTTTTAATTAGTGCTTGTGTGTCTCTATTTTTCAGAGCTATTTTAAAATTATCGCATTTCAAGTGATTGTTTTCACGTTTTTTTATTGTTATGAAATCTAAAATCATAATTTTAAAAAGTAAAAGAATTACTGTTATTGTCATATGATATTATTTATCTTTATATTTTATACAACAACTGTTATTGCTTTCCTATGTCATTGTCATTCTCTGTACTCATATTAGGAAATTGTCCTTATTTCTGCTCAAGATAATTTTTATATGTTGTTAAATTATAAATTTAATTGGCTCAAGAGTTGGCAGTTCATCCTGTAATCGGAAGGTTGCCGGTTCGAGCCCCGGCTCTGACAGTCTCAGTCGTTGTGTCCTTGGGCAAGACACTTCACCCGTTGCCTACTGGTGGTGGTCAGAGGGCCCGGTGGCACCAGTGTCCGGCAGCCTCGCTTCTGTCAGTGCGCCCCAGGGCAGCTGTGGCTACAATATAGCTTGTCATCATCAGTGTGTAAATGTGTGTGAATGGGTGGATGACTGAATGTAGTGTAAAGCGCTTTGGGGTCCATAGGGACTAAGTAAAGCGCTATACAAATACGGGCCATTTACCATTTATAAGGACATGCTTTCATGTTAAAAGATTATGCCCATCTTTTAAGTCCAAGCCTTATCCTTATTAAACCACTAATTCCCCTTTTCTACCTTTTGCAGTAGATTCGTTTGATGTGGTTGTGATTGTTGGAGGACTAAGTCTTGGTCATGTCCCTCCTGCTGTGGTCAGAGATCTGTGCAAGTCCACCAAACCAGGTGTGAATATGTTTTTGTTGTATTTTTGTTGTTGTTGTTCCAGTGCTGTCTCACCTACAGTTTCCCATCACTTTACTGAAGATGAGCTCTCATCACTTACTGCACTATCATCTCTTTCCACCAGGTGGCTACATTTGCATGACTACCAGAAGTAACCAGGACAATCTGGAGTACAAAGGCTTTCTTGACTCTGAGCTCAGGCAGATGGAGAACGAGGGGCTTTGGACTTGTGTGGAGGTCACAGAGGTGGAAAATTGGGAGAGAGCTGTGTCGGAGCACGAGGATGGCTACATATCTGGCGCTGTATATCTCTACAAGAAACTATAATTATACATATATCACAAAAGTGTATGGTGGTTTAAAATCACACCAGCAAAGGTGCAAAATAGACTTATTAGAGAAGAAACAAAAACTGGATAAAATTGACGTAAGATTAAAAAGGAAGGCTTGATTTTTGCATTTGCAGAATTAAGTAGGCTCAAAGATGGAAAGCTGCTTTCAACCAAATGAGTATCTTGCAACTGAGTAACAGGTTTTTCCTTATTGAAAGTAAATGAACCATTTTCTAAATAAGTGGTTGTATAACTTGCGTCTGTAACTGTGTCTCTTGTGCATTAATATCTGCCATCCACTAATAAGTGAGTTTATGAGGTTACATTTTCTAATTCAGTGATTCAGTTGGCTCAGATGTTAGGTTATCCCCTTTGTGCTTAAAACTTTATTAACTTTATTTGCTATTTGTTTTAAATTTTAAAACTAATCAAGTCGATGAGAAATTGGACAATTATGCTTCTGTACACCACCACAGTGGATTTTATGTTAAGCAACCAAGATGAAGTGTAGATGTTTTACCAATGACATACAACCAGTGTTCATATCCTTGTGAGACCCAGCCTATCCATCTGTTCCATTCCATTCATCCAGTAGTGGACACAAATCACAAAAAAAGTTAAACTAAACCTTTTTTTTCCTCCTTTCCTCCTTTCTTTTTTATCCTCCTCCTCTGGAGGATAAAACATGGATTCTTCAGACCCGATTCTTAGTCTAGAAAGCTAGAAAGACTTAATTTCATTCACCCAAGGACTAACAATATATTTAAATGTTCTTTTCAAATGTTACATTGTATTAGACTAAAGACAAACAAAAGAATGCAATAAAAATGTAAGTGTGAGCCTAGAGTGTATGAATTGTCTATAGAGCAAAAAAAAAAAAAAAAAAGACATGCAGGCATCCATCACACACAGAGAGAAGGGGCAGGTAGAAGGTGGGGGAGCCAGAGACGAAGAAAAGGACAACAGGTGGCAGTGTAAGCAAGCTCGAACCATACCGCATTTTGTGAAGGACAAAACAGCAATGTGTATGAAATGTTTAAAAAAAAACAAACAAAAAAAACCACGTTTAAAGTGTCACTCAGTATTCCTGCTGGTCCATTTATGCAGAAAATTTCACATCTTTGTCTCTGATATAGCAGTGCTGCTCTGCATGCACTATCTGCGTGCACTATCCATCTGTAGGCTCTGGCTGGATGACTGCTTATCAGTCACCCATTTTGTTATTGGTCATATTTCTCTCTGGGTTTATCGCAGTGCATTATGAGCTGAAGAGATCTTTGGAATAAAAAGAAAATAACATATAAGTCATTTGCTACCTTTTGCCCTAATAGTAAGTCCTAATTTTGCTCTTTCTCTTGGGTGTGTGGATGTTTAATTGTTCGACAATGTCAAGGCTGTGAAATTGTCTGCTGGCTGTCAGGTTTTGCATGATGCAAAGTTGATTTAAGGTCAGTTTACATATGTAGATTATCTTGTTTTCAATCACACTTTCCTTCACCTCTGCAGAATTTTGTGATGTGGTTAAGATTTCTTGAGCTCTTAGTTTTAGTCACATTTCTGTTGCTGTCATGAGAAAGCTGTGCAATGTCAACAGACCTGGTAAAATCCAGTTTAGCCACTTTTTTTTGTTTTTTGTTTTAATCATACTGAATTTTCAGCACTTTCATGCAAATGTTGCTTGAGGGAAAATCTGTAATACAAAATATGATCACTCCTAATCATGTTTCCTGCTTTCTGCAGAAAAAGGTTACCAGGTTACCTTCTGTTACCACCAGATAGATACATTTGCATGGCCTACTGAAATCACCATGACAATCGTCGATGCAAAACCATGTGAGCTGAAGCTGAGGAGTAAGAAGAGCTCTGGGAAGGCAAGAGGATGGGTGCTTATCTGGTGATGTGTAGAGTAGTGCAATGCTTTTGTAGTACAGTGTAGATTATACAAGTGAAGTCATATCAGGTCTTAAAACATGCTTTAAGACATGCTTGCAACAGGCATAACCTTAGAGAAAGCTTTTGTACATGACACAACATGACAGATGTATATTTCTATTTAAGGAACTGCATTTTGGGCAGCTCAAAATATCACTAAGTAATTAAAACAACATGCATGATCACATGATACGAGCATGATTCACTGAAACTAAATGTTGAATCCTCAACAAACACACAATGCTTCCTCTTTTAACACTGCACACCTGCCTGTAACTTTACTTTCTGCCAAACCAGTTTGTCCTGTGGCTTTTAATTGCCAGGAACAGGACTGAGAGTCCAGGGGGATTCTAAAAGGCCCTTTTCCACCTCGTGCCTCACATTATGTAAAAATTAGCTGGATACTTTTCAGATCAGCTCACAGTCATTTATTGAACAGCAAATGCAAAAGTATCAGTCAACATAGTGCAATGACATTTCACTGTGCCAAATGGCATGATCATTAAAATAACAAAATAACAAAACTTTGTATTTTCAATAATTGAATTTCTTCATAGAGATATTCACCAAAGAGCACATTTAATAATGTAATGCTTTCAATTAATGTATAATATATAATGTGTATGTGTCTAATAAAATATGTGTCTACTCGAAGGTAAAACCCTGCTGCCCATTTTAAACGAGAACTTTAAAAGTCTGAGGTAAACATAAAAAAAAAAAAAAAAAAAAAAAAAAAAAAAATATATATATATATATATATATATATATATATATATATATATATATATATATATCTGGTAGCAAATTAATGTTTCACATTTACAGTAACAGAGTTTAAATAGGAATTTGTTAGAAGTTAATTTGTCGCATTCTTCACACATTTCTTTGGCATGTTGATAAATGTACTCCTGAACTTTTCTATCTCATCCTTTAAAAAGGAAGCATCATGGAGTATATTTATACCCAAATAAAGTCAGTACACACTCACAAACAAAGAAAAGGCAACTTATAAATAGCAGTATAGTAAACTGTCTTTTGTGCCAACATAAGTACACATATTTAATTATATGTAATTATATTATAAGTATGTCTTTGGTGGATTTGAGGATAAATCTTCCCCGTCACTCTTAACTGATAAGGTGTCCATTTCTGCTTCTTTCAGCTGAGACTTTGTAGATGGTACATCACTGTGTTTCGATTTTGTCGAGTCTGCCTTTTTCAGTTGTGACTTTGTTGAAGGTGCCCATGATTTCTCTGACTCCTCTTTTGAGCCCTGCTCAGACATATACTGATAGGATGGAGGCCTTGGGTACTGCTGGGGCTTTGAAGTCACTCCCTCATAGCCATGAGGCCTGGGGTAGTCCACTCCAACAGGCAGTGACTTTGCTGATGGCGCCCTGCTGCGATGAGAACCCCCCAGGTTGGACCCGTTGTAGGAGCGAACCACCTGGTAACGCACAGACGTCCTCTTCTCTGTGTCATGGGCTTTTATGGGGCGTGCGGAGCTGATGAATAAACCGCCTCCCAGAACAAGCAAAACAGATGCTCCCCAGCCAATGTAAAGACAGGCACCAATCTCCCTCTTCTGAGCATCACTGTAGGCACTGTAGAAGTTCTTCACTAAAGCCCCAGCCACCCAAGATGTAGGAATCAAACAGAACAGACCTGCAGCCATCAACATTGCTCCTGCCACAACAGCCACCTTGCCCTTTGCCCCATTTCCAGTTTCATCCAAGAAGCGGGTGCACTTTCCTCCAACAAAGGCCATAATAAGTCCTGCTGCACCTACAGTGATTGAAATGACAGTGAGAGCTCTGGCAGCCTGCATGTCACCACTGAGGGCAAGGAGGGACTCGTAAGGTTTACACTGCATCTGACCTGTGCTTTGGACCACGCAGGCCATCCAAATACCCTCCCAGAAAATCTGGGAGGTGACGATGGAGGTGCCCACAAAGGACGAGACCCTCCACATTGGCAGTAAGCAGATGACAATGACCCCTGCCCAACCGAGGAGGCAGAGGCCACTAGCAAACATCTGCATCCCCATCGAGGCCATAATGTAGGTCTGGAGAAAAAAAAATCTTTTTTGTAAAATCCTTGCAGAGTTTTAAAAGGTGACTTGCTGCGTTTCTTGATTTCTGCTGAGTCTCTTTTGCATTTGCTTGTCTTTTCCTCTGGTTGCTCTTCTCTTGTATCTTTCTGTGAGTGTTTCTTTGTCAGTCCTTCTCAACATGTGCGTACTGTGCGTACTTTTTCTTGCTACTGTTGCAGTGTTGTAAACTATGTATGTCAGGAGAGCCTAGTCTGTTGCAGTTGTTGTCCTGCCTACAGTTTTTTGCTACTGGGATCGAGGCGTGTCTTACTTAAGCCTCACTTCATTTGTTTACAGCATATGTCCCTCCCCTTTTGTACCATGCCTTTCTGCCTCTTCCTTCTTTACTTTTTACTTAAGCACCTGAGAGCATTCGTTCTTTTTTGTCACCTGAGCAGATGCCTATGTGGTACTGAACAGGTGTAGACAGTGCCACACCTACTCTGTAGAAAAAATAAAGGACTGGAAGTTGACAGAGAGAGAGAGAGAGAGAGAGAGAGAGAGAGAGAAAGAAAATGAATAGGCAATGACATCACCCTCGCTCATTATCTTTGCCTCATGAGAACATTTTGTAAACAACAGCTATGAAGTAGGCAGAAGAGACAGGTATAAACCAACGCCTACCAATGGTCTGTTCTGATGTTAATCTGTCACATACAATACCTCTGCGAAAATGCTGCATTTGATTACCAGGTGATTTAATTTGATTAAGAACTTAATACATGTGTTAGGTCAGAGGCCTCTTCACGCAGCTAATGTATTTGAATAATGTGCGCATGCAGAGTATGTGAAACAGAAGGAGGGTGGAAAGTTTCCTGGGAGAGGACAGGACAGAAGTTTCACTTGAATAGCACACAGTGCAGAAAAACCTGTTCGAAATATGCAAAACCCCCGTACCACACAAGAGAACACACACTTATGTAAACTTGTGTGGCAGAAAATGAAACCTTTTTATCAAGATCGAAATCATTTTTAATCTCTATGACTTATAAAGGTTAGACTTTACAGGGGCTATAAATTATTTTCGGAATTAATTTTATGGTTAAGCCTGATACAACACAGTGCATTTAATTTGAAATCTTTTTAAGGTTTACCTATTTGAACAGAGATATTTTGTGTAGATAAGCTCATGTATTGTAATTTGTACCACTGTGAATGACTTTTCCCCCCTTGTTTCCTCAGAAACAGAAACTATGCACGGTTTTAATGATTAAGCTGATTCAGGAAAACACATTTGAACATTCTTTGAGTCTAACTGTCCTGGCCTTGCCAGTCCCCTAGACATCATAGAGGACGCGGGTAAGAGCTCGATGATGGCTAAGCTAATGTACATTATGGACAACACCTTTCACCCCCTGCATACAACTGTGGAGTCCCTGTGCAGCTCCTTCAGCAGTAGATTGTTACTACCGTGGTGTAAGATGAAGAGCTATCACAGGTGCTTCAACAGAGAGCACAGTACCCACACAGGATACGTACTTTTTAAGTGTATTACATGTGTATTACTATCGGTCCCACTGCACATTATGTACATATAAAAAATTGGGGTATATGTTACTGTATATACTACATATCTACATAGTATAGTAGTTTTTGCAAATTTGCAAATTAAAAAACAATTTTTTAATTCACTTTTTCTTTCTGTCCCTTGTGCTACTGTAACAAGGAAATTTCCTTCGTGTGGGACTAAATAAAGTCTCTTCCTATGTATAATTAGCTCAACTTTATATCTACTGTCTGAGACAATAAGGATTTTAAAGGAACTGAAACACTGGTTTAATGTGCGTTCACTAAAAATGCTACACATTATTTTTTTTTTAAATGTTTTTTAACATCAGATACAAAGAGCCAAGTTTTCAGTGATGTATTTAAGAATATTTTTTATCCTGATTTTGGTGTTTAATTCAGAAATCCACAAAACTAAATAAAGAAATGAACACATACTAAATAGCATTACATAAATGCTAGCATCCAGTGTCTGTTTTTCAGGCTCTTTGATGAGAAGGAAATGTCCCAAAACCGGTTTGTAAAGATTCTTTCAAGGACACTCGCAAAACCAGATCTTCTGTTTGAATTTCTTTACTGTTTGTCACTAGTGTGACTCATCTTATGATGAAATTTAAAAAAAAAACACAAGCAATGTCACATGCACATTTAATACAATTTTATTGACATACAGTCATCCATAATACATATATATATGTACATATATATATATATATATATATATATATATATATATATATATATATATATGTATCCATCAGTATTCCACTAGTTTAACAGAGAAAGCAGTCAAAAAAATGAGGTCTAGAGTTACAAGGGTGTTAATACGGATTTACAATGGTTTTAATTAAACAAGCATCAGATTTCAGACATAACCCTGAAAGAAAGTATCCCATATTGATATAAAAAAGAACAGAAAATAAAAATGTAAAAAAATCTCTGGTAGAAAACATAAAAACAACAGATATATTCAAAAACAGGCTGAAAATACTGCATGTGTGTATATTTTGAAGAAAAAAAGCTTAAGTTACACAGTCTCACTCTAAACATTTCGACTTATTTTAATCACAGACATTGTAATTCTAAAAGGTGGACTCTTTAAGATATCCAGCAGAATGCTCGCTATCTAAACATATTCCTTATGACTATCAACAGAGCGAGCCTTGGAGTACCTAACGTCATAATCAGTGGCATTGTTGGGGGGACAAGAGCTACAGAGCAGGCCCCCTCCCAGGATCAGAACCCCTGCAGTTCCCCAGCCGATGTACAGAGATGCTCCCAGCTCTCTCTTCTGTGCAGCAATCAGGGTAGGGTTGTAGAAATCACGAATGACGGTGTTAGCGGTCCAGCAGACTGGAATAAGCACCAAGAGGCCGGCAATGATGAAGACAATTCCAGCAGCTACTGCCACTCTGCTCTTTTGCACTTCGTCTTCGACAAAATTTGTGCACTTGCCTCCAACCACCGCAAGCAGAATCCCAAAAACTCCAGCGATGATGGCGATGACAGTGAGTGCTCTGGCAGCCTGCAGCTCTTGAGCTAATTCTAGCATAGAATCATAGACCTTGCACTGCATCTGGCCTGTACTCTGGGTCACACAGCTCATCCACAGACCCTCCCAGATGACCTGAGAAGTGACGATGTTGGCACCAATGAAAGCGGTGACTCGCCATTGTGGGAGTCCACAGGTGATGATCGACCCAAGAAAGCCGATGACTCCCAAAAATAAACCAACAAGCTGTCCACAACCAGCAACCATGTTGATCCTGTCAAAGAAAAAAGATTGAGCGTCCTTGAGAGCTTTGTGTGTGAAACAAAAGTTCAGCAGGTAGTTGTTTCAGCTGATCACTCAGAGAAGAAGCTGACTGTGAGTTCCTTGCTCAGTGGTTAAAATTTTAAAGGAGGTGACAGAGGAGGTGTTTTTCTAGTGCTGTATGCAAGGTCAAACAGGTTTGTGAAGAAATGTCACCCAACCAGCTTTTTTCAACACTTGTAGAAAAGATAGCAGTTTCATGTACATAACAAAGGCCAATATAATGGGAAAAAAACACCAAAAAACACCAAAACGAGTTACACAGAAATACAGACTGCCACCAATGTCATCAATTTTTTATTTTCTGTGAAACAATAAAATGAATATTTTGAACTGGCATATTTATGAGAACACTAGTCACTTGGGTGATACTAAATACCAAACAGGGATTTACCAAATGAACAATGCTAGAAAAATGATGCACATGACTTTCAGAGTGAGCTCATTGTCAACCGATACCTGTAGCTCATAGGTTAATAGATGTCAATAGATGTAGGTGTTTCTACACTGAAACTGTCTGTTCTTGTGACTGAGTGAGATGAAAAATTGCATTTATCGAGCTCAGCTGTGCTTTAAAGAGTGCTTTAAAGTGTATCTATGAATCACACACACTTACAGCCGAATCCCTTAGGGTTGCCATACAAGGTCCTGACCTCCTTAGGTTGGAGGACCCAAAACACCCCCAAAAAACAAATGTCATACAGTACCAAATCTACATTTGTGGAAAGAAAATTAGAAGCTTTTGATTTCCCTTTATGGAATTGTATGAAAAATAGACTTGCTAATTAGTAAGGAAAAATAGATGGTTTGAATGCCATTTCATTCTTTTCTTTTTTTTCTTAATACATTTATAATATAATATTTTGTCATGAAATCAATATCCTTAGTATCCTTATTTTCCTATTATATTGTTTTATGTACTTTAATAATGAAGGCTTGTAGAGCAAGGCCACTATTGACTCACAAAGTGCTCACCCAGACTAAAAAACAGGAAGTTTTAGTGCACAGGCATATTAATAGATAAAGACACAGAAAAGAGAAACTTTCCATATAAGCAATGTTTGAAACAGTGTGTGACGTGTGTCACGTCTGAAGTACAGAAATAATACCATATAAGACAAATGTTGAGCTAAAAATGTTAGAGCTCTTGCAACTGGCATTTGAGCTGTGCAGGGGTCTCTCTTCCGGAAGATGATTGAATAAAAAGAAATATAAATGTTTTAACACACTATGAGTCAGTTTTCTCTGTTCTATCATGGGGACAAAAGAATCGGGGTTTAATATTTGGTGTTTCCACCCGGTTCGTCATGCAACAGAGAGAACAAATGTGGCCGAAGGTTGGATCTGATATGAGGCGAACAGGAGACCAGTCTAAAAAGATTTAAAGGTAGGCACAAACCTGTTAAATAAGCAAATTTGTGCAAATGGGCTGAATTATAAATTATCTGGTCGCTGAGTAGGTGATCTTAACTATCAAATTGGCTCAGTAGTGGTAAAACTGAATTCTTGAGAATAAAGTAAAATTTTGAAGTAATGAAAAGCTTTGACGTAAGAATAATGAAACTTTGAGAAAAAGACAGTACTGAGATAAAAGTAACATGAGATGTTATGAGGAAATAAGAGAGAAAAGAGACCAATGTGTGATTAAAGAATAAGAGAATATAAGAGTTATTGGTCAGTTTATGGTTCAACAAGCGTTAGTCATGGAGTTGAAGAACTTCCCCCTTTGTAAAGACGTTTACTAAGATTTTACTCAGGTGTCGCTGCTGAGATTTGTGGCCTCAGGATCAGAAGATCATTTTAAGATACACTTATTTGTGAGTAAAAAAGAGTAATTTTGGACGAGGAAGCCCGACAGAAAACACCTGGTTCTGTCAGGATGTTTAAGTGACACAGAATTTCAGAAAATCGAGTCAGAAATGGTTTTGTGGCTCTTGGTAAACTGATTTTGAAGGAAAATCAGTGTTTATTGTGCTGAAGTAACAGATCCAGTGCAGTCTGAAGGGAAGAATCAGCTGTACAATTCTGAGTGTGCAGCGTTGTTGATATTAACCCAACTATGAACATGTGGATGAACATCACAATGGACATTTACAGAATGCAGAAAATGACAGCAGATGTGAACTACAAGAGGGACCTGTTTGTATCACGATGGAAGAAATGGAAAAAACGCAGGCCAGTTTTTGCTTTTGCTTTAGATTTTGACTTTGTTAACTACTAGAAGACTAGAGGAAATATTAGTTACATTAATGGAAACAAAAACGCACTCCCTACATTTATTTATTTACTTTTCTTTCCTTTTTCTTTTTCCTTATGTATTTTTTATTTATTTGTTTGTTGTTTCCTGTTTTGCTTCTTTTTCTTTTCTTCTTCTTCTTTCATTCTTATTGTATGGATATTTCAGTTGTTTAAATATAGAAAAAAAAAAGAAAAAATATATGTACTGACAGATAGCTGAAGTTGATGGTATTATATAGTGATTCCAAAAATGTCAATAAAAAAATAAAAAATAACAGATCCGGCGTGGTCTGAGGAAGAAATAAATCGGTGAATGGTTGATATACCTACATGAATTTTGGTGGATCCGCTGAGGTCCAGAAAAATAATCAATGCGGACTGTGTTGGTTTGGATGTTGATAAATGATCCAGGAAGAATTGCACTGGGTCTGTGTGTGTGTTGTTGCTGAGTAACAACATGTGCAGTTAAAAATTGGGCGTTGTTCCTTCCTCTTTTTAGTTTCAAAACACGAAGGGTTTTGGCTTCATTTTAAGGTTGGATTATGAATTACTGTGTGAGGAATGGTTTCACTTTTGACTACGGAAATAATATGCTTACTTTTGGGTCTATGAAAATTGAATTACAGAGGGAAGGGGATCTTCTGAAGGCGCAGGTTGTTTGCTACTGTGAGACAGTGGAGAGAACTTACGAAGTTACCTTCTTTCACCAAGTAAGAGTGGAAGATCTCGTAACATTCTGGTGGAGATGCCGGGGTAAAAAGAGTGAGCTCGGACGAGGAAGTCCGAGAAAAAGACACCTTGAGTTGAGCAATGTGTTTAACTGACTCAGGATTTCAGAGAATCGAGTCAGTTGTGGTCTTGAGTTTTAATGGTAAATTAAATTTGAAGGAATTGATTTTAAAGGAAAATCAAAGTTTACCGTGTTGAAGTAATTCTGTTGATATTACTAGATGTGCTGTGATACAAGTGAAGAATAAGTTGTGTACATGGGGATACACAATTGTGTTGATATTGATGGATCCATCTGATAAGTTAATGCACTGAGACAAGAAACTGTTTTTAAATCATCACTGGCAGCAGTGATATGTGCTGAAGATTACTGGACCCGTTGAGGTCCATTTGATGAAGTTCTTGGGCAGATAAATGACAGAAACAGTTTTCAAGTGTGCAGAGAATTTAAAAAAAAACCCGAACTTGCAGGTTCTCCGTAGTCGGCGCACTGTGTGGACTTATATCAGAGTTATAAGACCAAAGGTTACACACACAGTTCTTGGGTGTGAGTTACTTCCTCTTTTAATTTTAAACTGTGACACAGGTGTTCATTGAACTAGAACTTCAGCAGTGAATGAGACAGGATTTAGATTAGGTCTAGTTCTGGTAAAGTAAAAGATTATGTTCAAAGTTTTATGCCCTGGAGGCCAAGAGTTGTATATAGAGAAGAACATGACTTAGAAAAGGACATTTAAGGTCACATTTTGTCTAAGATGGGGAGAATTGTCCCATATGAGTTTATTTCTCTTCTCTTTTAAGAGGACATACGCACTTAACTGGGTGCGGTCTACTTCCTCTTTCTGATTCTAAAAAGCATGTTTGATAAAATACTCTTAGGAAAGCATATTTTGAGTGATTCTAAGTGTGTGAATGTTGTGAGTACTGGATTTGAGTGATTCTGTGTGATTTGTACAAAATAATAAATAAGTAATAATAACACTACGTAGGTTCATAGCAGAGTGCGGGAAAAAGAGTCTGAGAGAAGAGAGTGTGTGTGCGTCAAACAAACAGCAAGTCTGAATATAGCTTGTGAGCTGGTGAGAGACGTTGCAACATGAAAACAGAGGAATTAGAGACTGAATGTCTTAAGAAAAAGTAATAAAATGATATTAATTACATGTTTTAGTGTGTCAATACAGGTGGACTCTTCTCAACCTAAACACATGGGAACAGCGGCAAAAGGATAGATTAACAGAATTGGGATGAGAAACAGGCAAGGCTTTGGCTTAAAATTTTTACAGTTTGATCTCTCAAACCATTCTGAATTGAGCTGTTAGGAGAAGATCTCTGTCTGTTTTTATGCTTATATCTTATATCTTACCCTGGGTGTGTTTAATAAAATTAAAAGTGTTGCGCACACACATAAAGAGCATTGAGATTAAGTAAATAAAGATTAAGTAAAGGTAATATAAAGACTAGAGCCCAGAACATGATATGGTGAAACAACTTTGAATGATTAAAGGAACATTAGATGAACACAGTAGATTAGCGGGTTGTGTAGCAGAGAGAGGCTTTTTGTTTTCTATCCTTTACAGGTGAAAATTTCATGACCACAGCGACCACAGGGGTCGCGAGAATCCTGGAAGCCCAAGACCGAATGGAACCAACCAGAGAAAGGAGAAGAACAGAGCACAAAGACACCTAGTTGTTGACATTGCAAAGAAGATCAAAAGCTTGTTAGACACAGGTTATAATGGGAGCATGAAAGTAATGAGAGGGACTTTAGGAATAGTTGCAGGATTTTTAAATCAAATTCAAATTCAAATTTTATTTGTCACGTACACAGTCATACACAGTACGATATGTAGTGAAATGCTTGGACAACTGCTCGTGACCTAAAGAAAACAAAAAAGGAAAAGGCTATGAATAAGATAGGAAATAAATATGAAAAATTAAAAAGGGTAAATTTAACTAGGAAGGAATAAAATATAAATTAAGGTTAAAAATGAAATAACTGTACAACACACTGGGAAAGAATAAGATAAAATATATAAATTAAATTGAAAATAAAATAACTGTACAACAAAATACACAATACACAATATAGAACTATATAAGAATGTATGAACAAAATACACAAGAAGTATAAATAAATATATACACAATAACAGCAGCATATACACAATAATAGCAGCAGTGATTTAAGTGATGAAGTGAAAACAATGTCCAGAATGTCCAGTGTGTGTGTAAGAACTATATGTGTGGGTCAGTACTGTGTGGTGGTGTGATTGTGATTGAGAGACCGTATCGCCTTCGGGAAGAAGCTCCTCCTCAGTCTCTCTGTGTTGGTCTTCAGGGAGCGGAATCGCTTTCCTGACCTCAACAGAGAGAACAGTCTGTTGTTGTTGGGATGGCTGAGGTCCTTCACGATCTTCCTGGCCTTGGTCCAGCACCGCCTGCTGTAGATTGAGTGCAGGTCAGGGAGCTTGGAGCGGATGGTGCGCTCAGCTGATCACACAACCCTCTGTAGAGCTCGTCTGTCCTGCATGGTGCTGTTCCCAAACCAGGGTAAGATGTTTCCCGTCAGGATGCTCTCTATGGTGCACGAGTAAAAGTTCCTGAGCACCTTGGAGGGCAGTTGGAAGTCTCTCAAGCGTCTGAGGTGGTAGAGACGCTGACGGGCCTTTTTCACCACAGTGTTGATGTGACAGGACCATGACAGGTCCTGCGTGATGTGAACTCCGAGGTATTTGAAGCTGTCCACTCTCTCCACTGGGCATTCGTTGATGACAGGGGTCTGGTAGTTCCTCTCCTGCTTAGTGCTGAAGTCCACTATCAGCTCCTTTGTCTTACTGACGTTTAGAAGGAGGTTGTTCCTCTGGCACCAGTTCTCCAGATTCCTAATCTCCTTCAGGTAGGCCGTCTCGTTGTTATCAGAGATCAGGCCCACCACGACGGTGTCGTCAGCAAACTTGATGATGTTGGTGGAGCTGGTAGTGGCCACGCAGTCATATGTGTACAGAGAGTACAGCAGGGGGCTCAGAACACACCCCTGGGGGGCTCCAGTGCTGAGAGTGGTGGAGGCTGAGACATGTCCGCCCATCCTTACTGCCTGTGGTCTGCCAGTTAGGAAGTTGGAGATCCACTGACACATAGATGAGCTGAGTCCCAGATGCTCCAGCTTGGTGGTGAGTGTGGAGGGAATTATGGTGTTAAATGCAGAGCTGTAGTCTATGAAGAGCATTTTAACATAATTCCCCCTTCTAGTGTCCAAGTGAGTGAGTGATGTGTGGAGGAGATGAGAGATGGCATCGTCTGTGGAACGATTTGGACGGTAAGCGAACTGTAGTGGGTCCAGTGTGTCTGGTAGTGAAGAAATGATGAAGTCTCTGACCAGGCGTTCAAAGCACTTCATCACTACTGAGGTGAGGGCTACAGGGCGATAGTCATTGAGAGAAGCAGGGTGGGGTTTCTTCGGGACAGAAACAATGATGGACTCTTTGAAGCATGTGGGGATCACCGACTGAGATAAAGAGATGTTGAATATCTCAGTGAACACAGGAGCTAGCTGGTATGCGCAGTCTCTTAGGATACGACCTGGGATGCCGTCTGGTCCTGCTGCTTTCCTGGTGTTCACTCTCTTGAAGGCTCTCCTTACTTCATGCTCGGAGATGACGAGCACGTTTCCGGTGCTGGCAGTATCTTCCTGTCTGCAGCCGTTAGCGCCGCTAGCATTAGCATCGTTGGAGTCCTTAGCTGCAGCCTCGAAGCGAGCATAGAAAGTGTTCAGCTCGTCTGCCAGAGTCACGGCCGCGTTCGTCATACCGGTTGTTGGTGCTTTATAGTCCGTTATTGTCCTTAGTCCCCGCCACAGGCTCCTAGAGTCACTCTGTTGGAGTTGTGACTCTAGTTTCCTCCCGTAGCGCTGCTTCGCCTCTTTCACCGCCCTCCGCACGTTATATGACGCGGCTTTGTACGGGTCCATGTCCCCCGTCGTGAGTCCCGTGTTGTAGGCAGCGGTGCGGGATCTCAGAGCGTCGCGGATGGTTTTATCCACCCACGGCTTCTGGTTGGGAAACGTTGTGATAGTCTTTGTCTCCACGGTATCATCCGCTAGTTTCCCGATGAATCCCACAACCGCTTCCGTAAACACGTTGACATCATCGTCGGAGCTGTTTCTGAACATGCCCCAGTCTGCGTCATCGAGTGCGTCCTGTAACGCGGCCACTGATTGATCCGTCCAGCGCGCGACCTTCCTCTGAACCGGAACTTCCTGTTTCAGCCTTTGTTTGTATTTTGGCATGAGGAAGATGGCGGCGTGATCAGATTTGCCAAACGGAGGGCGGGATTGTGCCTTGTAGCCGTCCTTGACCGTAGTGTAGCAGTGGTCCAGTGTCCTTTCACCTCTGGTGGGGCAGGTGATGTGTTGATAAAAGTTCGGCGCTGCGCGTTTGAGGTTGGCGCTATTAAAGTCCCCCGTCACAATAAGCGCAGCGTCCCGGTGTTGTGTCTGGTGCTGTGTGAGTGCCTCATGCAGCTCGCATAAGGCGGTGACCGTGTCCGCTTGTGGTGGAATATAAACGGCACTTATAATGACCGATGTAAATTCCCGAGGTAGATAAAAAGGACGACACATGATGGACAGTAGTTCCAGATTTGGTGTGCAGGAGCGTGTGAGAGGAACAACGTTCGCACTGTTGCACCAGTTGTTGTTCACCAT